CAATTCTTGTCCCTCCAACACGGATGCTGGCAAACTGGAGGTTAGTTACAAGTACGAACCTGTTTTGTGGCATCCTCTAGCATTTGATCCCATGCTAATTCAGATTTATCAAGCGATTTGACAAAACTGTTTTTATCAGGTGAAGAGAACGGGTTCGTTTTGGCAGAAAACTGCTCATGTTTCAGCTTCTTCAACGATATTTGCCCTGAAAATGACAGAATTAAGACGCACTTCAAGTCAAATACCCTCACTAACTGTCATTTCTAACTCAAAGTTCTCTCATTCTGATAACTTCGTTCCTAAAAATGACTACTCGGAAAGATTCGAGCAGTTTTTGGATTTTTTTTTCTCATTCCGATTCGATTTTGCGCCCGATCCGGACTGCGAATAAATAAACTGCCAAAATATCCATAATAGGCATTCAAGATTTTGGATTTTTACATAAGTTTCTCGAAATCCAACTCTCCTATTCAACAAATACAATTTGTTGTTCACTGTATTGCCGAAGTATTCCTTAGAAAAGTTTAAATATTTCTAAAATTAAGGAATTAAGCCTCAACTGTCCTATAATTTACTTAAGAATATGCCACTTTTGTTTCGGTCAATTGTCAAGTTCATTCTACATTTCTACATTTTAAGTGATCAGTTCAGATGTTTTTATGCGATAAAAATTGTCTATCTCAATGGAAATTCTCATTCGAAGGTGAATGTTCTAAATTTCGTGGCTGAACACCAGATATAATTGGATCAGATATATGACACTGTGATTTCAATAATTAAATTGTGTTAATAGAGTATGTAGTGAAATTAATGATGATGTCTTATGAATGTGACATATTCACTGATAATGCTATTGCTGTATCAATATATAAATATTCTTAGGCACACATCAAACAATTATCAATATCGTTATTATTTTACTCGCAATACTCACCTCCGATTACACTCACGAAACATGCTGCAAACAACAGTTTATACATTGCATTAATCCACCTGAAAGATTTCAAATTATTATCTCAACTTTCAATATCTCTCAAATGCTATCGCTTATATTATCTATCACCCAATTTGAATCCGATCTCTTCACAAACCAAAAAGTTCGAGACCCTCAAAATTATGCAAAATCCCATCTCATTTCATCAATATCTTTGATAGATCAAAGAAAAACTTCTCGATGATTAATAACNAAATTATTACCTCAACGTTCAATATCTCTCGCATGCTATCGCTTATATCTATCACCTAATTTGAATCCGATCTCTTCACAAACCAAAAAGTTCGAGACCCTCAAAATTATGCAAAATCCCATCTCATTTCATCAATATCTTTAAGAGATCAAAGAAAAAGTTCTCGATGATTAATAACAAAAAATCGCCTGCATTGTTAACTGCTACCAAACCAAGTAGAACAATCAGAATGGGTTAATTAAGAAGTAAAAGCAGGGTAAACGCATATCGCAGAAACTTACCTATATCGCATAACAACGATATTGATATTGATGAAAGACACGAGATGACTAAAATTAAAATTGCAAATGGATATTCGACAAGAAACGACGTTTCTGCACTGCAAATGTCTTTGACGATTCTCTTTCTCTCTCTGTTTCACATTCAATATCTGACCCAAATTAGTGGAAATCTCTTTGATGAATCGCTCTTTGATAGTGTCATCTTCGAGTAGGTTGATTTGGGTGGGTTTCTCAGAGATAAAAATTATTTCTGAGACGACCGTCGAAAAATTATCATTCTATCAGCGAGAGATTCCCCGATATCGATTAATGAAACGATTTGTCATCATCACTGATTAATTAAACAAGTTTCATCAGTGAAATGATTCAATCAAGTTGCAATCATTATAAGAGTAGATATGTGACTGCCGAATGGTTGAACACTGAACTCGAATGGTCATCCATCTTCTTATGACCATTCCAGTCGTTATGACCACCATTTGAATCCGATTATACAATTCGTTGAGGAATCTGAATTTCAAAATCACTGTTTCATTTTCAGTTGCTGGCCACTCATATGAGAATTCTCTAAAAGCATTTCATTAGTTCCAAAGCTTTTTTTCAGCACAAACGGATAATTGTCATCATGTCATATCCTCATCCACAATGGAAGAGTTGATTCCACATTATTCCAATCTCCTGGATCAGTGTTTGTCGCGCTTGCAAGCTGCACTACACTTTTCGATGGTCTAGCTGGCTGTCGTTACACTTCCTACCCACCTTTCCCATACAAGAATTTACTATTTCTACGTATAACATCAGAAGAATTTGAAATTCTCGACGGCATGAAAGAAATCAATTTCCTGGAATGGAACAAGTATTTTTTGGAACTTTGAGTATTGTCGTTCATCACCGAAGAAATATTACACCACTTGGAAACACATACGTAAGCGGTTGAGCAAAATGTTGTCAAAAATTGAATGCAGAAATTCATATCATCAACTGCGGAAAATACTCGAGAAAACAAGAAACCAATCATCTGAATTTGATGAAAAATTGTTCATGATGAATTCAGTATTTAACTGAAGTAAGAATTACCGAACCGCTTAAAACTAATGAATCATAAAGTGTAAGCAAAAGTAAATGCGAACTAATTTCCACGAATTAACCATTCGTTCACATGAAGGATTAAAAGTTACGATTTATTGATCTACCAAAGTAAGTTATGAACATATCACAAAATTGGCTAAGAAAGTGAGTTAAGTCCTTGATCAACGGGAGCATGAAGCAGAATATATTTCATTGAGCAGTTCCAGGATACTAGGAGAAACTCACTTGAAACGGCACAGCAGTTTTTTTCGGAATTTTTCATAATTATCCGACCTTTCTGACATCATCAAATTACTCCCCAAAGGGCGATTTAAACCCCTATGAGAGACACTGCTTTAGGCAAAGTATAATGGATAAAGCAATGTTCAATATCTTCTGCCTAACTGCAGCATTTATCTGGTAGCATATTGGTGAAAAAAAGTTGATTGACTCAAGTTTATGACCTTATACTTTTATTGATTGGTATAATATTATAATTTGGCACAGTATTTAGGTAGTTCATGCATTTCTGATTAATACTTCGGTTATTTTTTCAGTCATCGAAGTAATTTTTTCCGAATATGTTGTCGATCATTTATTTCAATTTATTTGTTGCTTTATTGAAATAACCTAGGAGTATTTCATATTGAATGTACCACGACATTGCTAAAGAATATATCTGAAGCACAATCTATTGTATCATGAAAATGAGTTCGATTCTAATGCATTTGTTCAGTTGTTTTCAGTATCGAATTATCTTCGGTTTTCATTGTTTTGTTCTCATTCACGGTGAGGTCATAATTAGATTGTCTTCATCATATTATCAGACCGAGTCGAGACGATACTCAATTTGAGACGAGCAACTCATCAAGGAAATTGCAACATTGAAGAGAGTGACCGACGCCGATTCGGTTAATTGAAAGTGCGAATACATTATACTTTTCTATCTCTCGCGTCTTTCACACTGTTACTCCTCGTATTGAAATCTCCCCTCAGATTATGATTTCTGCAAAGTGTGAAATGAAACAAATCAGATGTGGATAAATTTTTTATTTTTTTGTTGCTGTCAACGATCGCAATTAACATTTCCATATCCATCTCGAATCATACGTGACAAAACGCATGAATATCTCGAACGAAACGGATGACAACGTCAGAAGAAAACATTGACAAGAATAGATAAATAAACAAACGACACCGTACGAATCATCGT